CTTTTTTTTTTTTTTTTTTACTGATGGGAGAAGGCAGTTACATAGAACATTAAATAATTCAAGAATTCCACACATGGTAGATTCTTTTGGAGAATAGTTTGTCCTGTATTTTTTACATCCTCAAATCTTTTCTGAAATGCTAACATTTCTTCCATTAGTCTCATTACTTTCAAAATCTAGTTCCTGTAGCTACTTATGTAGCCAAATTGATATCAGTGGATATTCTGTAATTCTTTGGATAATGAGATCTGTGTTAAGAGTCTCTTTCTATCTGTGGAGATCTTGGCAAGCAATGAGCAAAACTCATTTCCTTGGGAATTTTCTATTTTGTCTATTTTAATTCAGAGGTACAGAGTAATTGTAAGAGCATTTCCAGGAAAACGCAGGCATTCCAAGCATGAATAAAGTACAGCTATCAGTTTTCCTCAGTGAAAGACAGAGAAATAAAGTATTTAATGTTTTAATTTTACAGTAAAAGTTATTTAAAATATTGCTAAATTTCCACAGAGGTACAAGATAGCAGATAGCATGCAGATAAGAAATGTTAATAAACACATAAACAAACAGGAAGGAAATCTCCAAGTCCTAGAGAGTTCAAAGTGAAGAAAGGGAAGAGTCTTATGATCAGAAAAGGTAGCAGTATCCTACTGTCTAAAAACAGAACTGTCTGACTCTTGCAGATGTAGAGTTAATTTCAACCTTTCTTAAGAGTCTTTATAGTGAGTAACACATTTTTCAAAAGACAGATTCTCAGTCACAAAGCAAGAACGTATCATCTTAGTACCCTTTAAAAAGAGGGTTGGAAGAGATAGACTTCATAAAAAGCTAGGCATACTTCATCATAAATGCTCCCACTGATATCTGCTCCATAAATTGGTGACACAAAAGTCAAGTTCTTCCAGTATTTACGCTCTAGATCTTCATAATCTACGTGTCTTGGAGTGCGGTATCTGCAGAGGGAAAGAGGCAAAGGTTCAGCACAGTCTTTCAACCACCAGCTTCACAAGGCACTATTGATGCACTTTGATCCTGCAAACTGAAATCTAAGAGATCACTTTATTTCAAATTAACTGAAACTGAGGAATTATTACTTGTCCTGAATTCTTACATTCATGATTCACCATAGCATATAACCTCCTGACAGCTACAGTAACTGAAGTTATACACCTACCCATACAATATTTTCTTCAGTTTCCAGCAGCTAAACAGCACATCTACTGACTGCCCTCAGTCTGAGGCCGACCCTTCATTTTCTTCCTCTTCAATAAAAAAGACACACATGGAAAAGTGACTTAATTGACAATTATTTGTTATTATCCTGTCTCACTACCAATACAAAGAGACAGAGATAGGTCCTGAACAAGCCTGTCAGAACAACTCACATGTATAATTCTGCCAAGTAGCAGCCCTATTAGGAAAAAAAATGTACTTTCTTCTCTTCTTCTTTTCCCAGAAAAATCTTTTGAGAAACAGTGTAATGTTTCAAACAGTTGATATCAAAAATTCTACCACTCAGTGAAAAAAACTATTTAATGGCATTTTAATTTTTCTTCCTTTAGTGCAGCACGGGGCAACATACTTATATATGCATAAATATACTTATGTATATACTTTTGTAAGGTCACTCAAACTTCATGTAAAATCCTGTGGGAACACAACACAAGCAAACTACCATTGAAAACATGCATCAATAGTTTTTGCCTCAGGATCCTTTGTCAGGCCTCTGTTCTCCCATATTTAGGTCATCAGAAAAGAAAATTTGCTCTCCTGCTACTGCGACTTTAAGAAGTAAAGCTTAACATTAGTACTGCCAACTTACTGAAACTGAACTGTCAAAAAGAAAATCCAAACAATATAAGTTTAAATTTACATCATGCAATAACAGAGACAAGCAAGTTAGCAAAAAACATTTTAACCAAAGCATTCCCAGCAATATAGTTTCTCAATTATTTCTCATTATACAGCTCCAGAAATCATATTGTATTTCTGCTTGGCACTGAGTAATATGGATACATAAACTCAGTTAACATAACACAAGTATCTTGACTACAGGATGCAGGTATGCCCATATTTCCGAGAGGTCAAGGTGGAGAAGCACCTTGGTTCAACTGCGAATTGTGAATGCCTAAACAATTAAAAGATGCAATGCATTAGATTGCGTGCACAAAATCCTTTTAAAGGCAACTATGATTTAATTTAGATGTTCATGGCCCTTCTCTCTTTCTCAAAAGAAATGGATAACATCACAATATTCAAGAGAATAGTCTCTAACAGAGAAGTCATCTTCATTAATGAACAAAATTATTTTAATGAGAGAATACAGGGTCTCAGCTACTCAATAGTTTAAGAATAGACTGCATTAAGAATGTTATAGGAGTTTATATGACACATTTACTCAAGAGCAGTGATGAATATTTAGAAAGACCTACAGCTAGTAATAGATAAGAAGCCCTCCCAACTTTTCTTAACTTTACCTACAAAATGAAGTTGTGAACTGATTTCAGTAAAAAACATGAAAACTGAAAACAGAAACACTTACAAAATATCTTCCATAACAAGGAATAAAATAAACTTAATTAACATCATGGTATCTATTAAAACGTTAACCATATTTTTGCATTATCAAACTATTTTAAGAAAACAGTTTCTCATTTTATCATGGGTTAATCACATGTAAGCTTTAAACATATATGAACAGGTATCATACAAAGTTACATCAGATACCATACAGGTTTTATATTTTATTACCCCCTCCCCTGAAAAAATAATTTTAAGAACCTCAAAATGGGTTCCTATTCCCACTCAGCAGAGGAGGAAAATTCTAAGTGTGAGAACCTCAATCTTTCACAAGTAATATATGGGCAGAAACATACAGATACTTTATAACTGAAAAAAGGAAATTAGTTTGCACTTCTACAAAGTCATGGAAATTACTGAAAATTTGCTGAGGAGCCTCTTTAAAAGCTTTTCATGTCTTAGTTTTTCCTGATCTTGATGACAGCTTCTCTTACTTCATAATTTCTTAACTTACAAGTGAAACTTTCCTTCAAACTAGGGCAGTGTTACCTTCCTTAATTATATTCAAATATTTTTTCTCTTTAGGATCCTTTGACTCACCTTCCAAACACTATTTCCAGTCAGTTTTGAGGAAATACTGAAGTAGAATTTATTCTTTTTATGTGGCCTAAAACAATGGGGATGAACTCCTATCACTCCCCTCTTCTTGGAATGCCCATCAATTTGAAACTTTTTAGTATAGTGTCTAGCCCTTCACAGACTTTTTTTCCCCCCTCCCTTAATATCCATATTGCCATAACCAGAACATAAGCATTTGCTAGGTGCAGCTGAGTTCTCTGAGATTAATGCAAAAACTACTGGGAGTGTTAAAAAAATGTTGGGTGTTTTTTCAGAACTACTTGATGATAAGCCATTCCAGTATGCAGGTCAAAGAACTGAATTATATTTTAAACATTAATAGGTGTACTTAAAATAAAACTCAGATTTTGAAGACTGTCTTCATTATTCTCAACATAAACATTTATTAGAACAGAAATAAAAAAGGTGGAAAGGAAGCATCATGTTTCAGGTTTTTCAGATGCTTTTTTGCTGCCATGGCACCAGATGCTTTCAACAACAGAAACAAGCAAGATTCATATTCTGGTACCCTTCCACAACTTTGGAAACAGAAAAACCTCCACTGAGTAAGTGAAAAATAATCACCAGCTGCCTAATACAATTCAAAAAAACCACAATATAGGAACAAATAAATATCTTTATAAGCAAGTCCCCCCATATACATACTTGTCACTGTTGGCCAGCTGCTTGAACTCCTTCACTGTCATTGGCTTTTGTTTGATGCTGTACTGTATGAAGAGCCCTGACTGGCCAGTGACCTTCTGCTGTATTGGAGCAGGAATTATCAAATCTTCAATATCATTATAATGTTTTCTTGGCTTCCACTCCTTTGGTGGGATAACCTTTAAATTCAGAAATAAAAACAGAACATCAACAGTTGCAATACCCATTCAAAAAATTCTGGAAAATCAAAAGAAACATTCAAATATGCTCACATTATCAAATGAATGTTTGCTTACCACCTGTTCCACAGTAATTAACTGTCCATATAAGTGCTCTTAAATAACACAGAAACCAATTCAAAATGGGCATAGTATTACCTCAATTCACAAGCGGCAACCCACTAATCACAGCAATTCAATCATGTGCAACTGTGCAAACATAGACATGTATAATAACAGAAAAGTATTTTATAATCAGAAAGCCTTGTAATTCACTTTGTACTTCACAATATAAAATTGTTATCCTCAATTAAAAAAAAAATTATACAAAAGATTGACAGTCTCCTGTCCAAATGTTATTTGGCATAAACAGCATGAGCAACTTTATTTCTTTCTGAAAACTTACTCCTCATAAAACTGCAGGATACAACTCTCTTATAGTAAATTTGCACTAATATTAAAACTAGTATATCTAGATTAATGTGATTTAAACCACATAATTAAAGATTAAATCTATGTGCAAAATTAACAATTTTAAAGTTATCAAGTTTCAGTGTTGTTCGCTTTCAGAGAAAAATAATCAAATCAACTTGTGACTCTTACTTCTTTCACACAAAAATTATATGCACATCAACAAAACACAAATTGTTGGTTTGGAAGCAGAGAAGTCATGCATTTAGAATATATGCATAGAAATCAAATATGTGCACAGAGATTTCCATTTTCATTATTATTAAGCATGAACTTGCAGGTTTGGCTCAAGTATATGAATACTGAAAAGCAAAATTTGCATTACCTTATTTAATTCAAGGTCAGTGTGCTTTAAGGAATAAAAATATTTTTGTGAATAGAGGTTCAAAATACCCCCATCCCCCTGTGGAGCCTTTATTATTGTTGTAATTATAGTACTGGTTAAAGTGATTTCTTGGAGAATTGATACACTAAGTAATATTTTAAAAGAAAGTAAAAATAGAGTCTCTGCCCCACAGAACTTGCATTTTCTGAAAGGCCAGGGCAAGGACTGGAGATGTTAAAATATCATGTCCAAAGCAACATACAGTTAATCAGTATCAGAGCTGGAAATTAAGACTAGGTCTCTGACCTGTCCCACTGAAGCCTCTTCACATTCCCTTTAGCAAAAATAACCTATTCGAAGTCTGGCAAGTTAGGTTTATTCCATGGAAGCAACCTAGATCAAATTCATCACTCAAGATGTTCAATGCTTAAATATAAAAAAGGAAAAACCTAAGGCAAGGCTGTCTCATTTTTAGATAGATAGATAAATACATATTTCAAACATCCTAAGCATATTCTGTCTAGTGTTATTTAGCATGATGTATATTCAGTTTTAGATAGAGATGTCTATTTTCTACCACTCAGTCTCCTCCATGAAACCTGCACATTAATACAAATGAGGTTATTTCAGAGAGTTATCAATGCATAAATTTCTGTTAAACTCTCTTTCATATACTGGTAATCTCCTGTTCCACATTTGATTCTTAACGGCATGGGCCACTACTTTATGTATGTAGTCTGCCCCATCTCTTCTGAACATTGTTTTTCTTGTACTTGCCAACATCAATTTTCAGTATCTGAAATGCTGGGGTTTCAACCCTAAGCCCCAAATTAAGGTCGACATAGGGGTGATTCCCACAGCCCTTCACAAAGGGGGGGTGAGTTTGTCTTTAGGCTTCCCTCCAGGGTGCAGCCGGCCTTGCAGGGAGAGCCATTGGGTAAATGAGCCCCACGTGTCCCACATTAAGTGAGCAAAGGTCAGGTGTCCCACGTGGGGATAAAAGCTGGGACCACTTGCAGGCAGGGGCAGTGTCTGTCTGTGAGGTGGATGCCCTGTGCAGAGTTCCCTGTTGGGAAGGACCTCCTGCCTCCCTGGAACTGGGCTCCAGTCAGGTCTGGCTTTGTAAACACGGGCTGTGTAGAGATTCAGTGTGTGGCTTCCTTGGTCTTATGTGTTTGGCTTGTTGACTCGGTTGTCTCCCGTCCCTTCTATGGGAGACTGCATTTCACCGTTTATTCCACCCATTGTTGGTTGTGTGGTGTCATTGTTGGGGTCAGTGGGATTGATGTCAGTTATGTATAATCTGACTGACTTGTTTGCACCCCCAGCACTCACCCATGTACTGACTCTTTTGTATCAAATACAAATCAGTTACTGGTTCATCTTTATGCTGGCTGTGTCCTTTATGCTAGGCCTAATAATTGTCAAAACAGTATCATGTTCCAAAACTACTTGCCAATGCAACTGCAAACTAATTTAACTATTTCACTCTATATAAATGCAGTTTGAGTCTCCAAAACACTTGTTATTCAAGTAAAGAACAAGTAATCTATCAGTGTATTTTTCATTTGTTCTATTGCTTTCATTCCTTGTTTTCAGTTTTATGTGTAGCATCCTCTGTAATAGTAAGACTAAAATACATTATCTATGCCTAAAGCTCATTTCAAACTCATATACAAGAGCCTAATAGATTTTGGTTTTAGCCAATTTGCTCCAGAATGACACAGTATATTATCTGTTCTAGGAATGGATTAATGTTGTTTGTCTAGTACCTTAATCATTTTTTTCAGGCATAGTACTAGAAATCTTTTTTTTTTTTTTTTTTTTAAACATTTTATCCCCCACACTCCCCTGCCACCCCACAGTATGTGCAAGACTTATAGTCATTTTATCCCCATTTACATATACATGTTCTTCCACACTGGGGAAAGCCCTTCCACCCTTACACTTCCACATTTAACCTAAAGTGTTGGGAGCATCTACTCTGCTTATGACCTCTATCTAGATGTTAAATTACTGCTTCTGCATAAGCATATAGCTCCACTGGTAGTCTTTATTCTCTTTGCATGCATACTTGAGTCTGTATTACTATATTACTATATTATTACTATATATTATTATATTATTAATATATATATTAATATATTATTACTATAAATTAGGTCTTCTGTAATATTATAGGTATAATATGTAATACATATTACTATCAAAATAAGAAAAAAAATTATTCTTGTTATTTTAAATCTGATTTCCAAAACTCAGAAAACATCTCTTACACTTCTGAAGTATGATTTATTGACAAGATTTGTTTTAAAAATACTTAGTTGGTTTATTTTCTACACATAATTTTTTTGAAAAATAGGACTATCAGAACATAAAAAGTCTCAAAACAACTAAGTAATATGTATCAACAAACCAATAGGCTGAAATCAGCTACACATGCTTTAACTGATTCTAGTATCAAGCATAAGAAGGGGAAAGCAAAACTACACTGTATGGTTAAAAGGGTCCTTCCTCAGTCACAGTACAGCTGAAACACAACACATGTTTTTAATATTTTTTAAAAGGTTTTGCTATGTTTTCTTGTATCATAGACATTATTCCAGGTGTTCTGTAAGCCCAGGTCAGTAGATATACCACTTGCATATAAAAACAAATATATAAAATTATTTTTTGCACTCCTAAGACTATCACATTTTAAAATTTGTACATGGAGAAAAGCTTGCCAAATTATTTTGAAATGTGATAGATGCAATGGGAATTAAATCCTAGAGTGTGTCCAAAAATGGACACACACATTTTCAATCATGAATGGGGATATTAACTTCAAACAAGCCAAATTATACGATACAAAATATCATAAATCCCTGACTACATGGCCAAATTCTGCCCTTAATGGATATAATCAGCTTTAGTGACTTCAACAGAACAAGTATGAAACTCCAAGTGCTATGACAGCAGCAACATCCTGTAAACCTCTGTGAATAAAATCTTGGAAATATTTTTAAGACTCTGCTAATTTCCAGCTTCTCTTAATCACATGTATATGTACAATATGAGAGAACAGTAATTTGTAGCCAAATTTTTCCATCCCTTTCACCTGATGAGATCTAATTAAAAGAATATGTTAATGAGACTTCAAAAAAACACTCCCTTTTGAAAAAATTGTATAGTCCAGATAAAACACCAAAATAAATAGCTGTAGTTTGAAAATGGAACAATACTGAAAGATTCATCCTTAAGAAAGCTATTCATGATCTTATCAGGAAAGAAAGTGGTTTCACTTTGTATTTAATTATATTTTAAAAAATAAAAAAAAACCACTGCTTGAAAATTTTAAAATTAGTATAGATTAAACAGTGTTAACTGGAGATATGCATCTAAAATTCACTACCCACTTCTCATATTAATCTGAAAAGCTGTCATATCTCTGAAGAACTTTGATTATCACTTAAAGTACTAAAATGGACTCCCCAACTCATTTTCAATTCAGTTATGGGATTCTAATCTACATCTTACAGCATTACACCATGGCAAAGAAAAGACCACAGCCTAACTTCTGTTCTTCTGTTGTCATGATCACCATTTTACAGACTGATTTTTGATAATGTTAAAATAAATTAAATACAGTATATGCCTGCATCCACTCCACAGTCAACATCTGCATTATATTCTTTAAAAACACCTGGTAGATATGTTGCATCTAGTATTTTTAAAAAGTCAGTTTCACTACAGCATTAGTATATTTTATTGATAACTATGTCATCTTTGCCTTTCAGTAACAAGTGAATATTTATACACATTTCATATATACAGTAATTAACCTCATGGTTGGTTCCTGCAGAAAATTAGGAATAAGGCTATGAAGATGAATGAAGATGACAGCAGTATCAGAGAAATTTAAAGTTACACAATAGAGGCGAAACTGTTTCACATTCTTCTTGTTCATATACTTTCCTAACATTACTATGTCCACTGCTCTCCTCAATGGCTCTGCTCTTTTCTCCTACACTGTCTGCACATGGACGTTTAATTGCGGGATGACAGGAAAGGAACCAGAACAACAATTACGATAAGGAAGCAAAACAGAATGACAACTGAAGCCATAATCACATCTCCAAAAATGTGAAAAATATTTCCAGGAAGAGACATTATCTTTTTACACTTCCTACTGGCTGAAATTTTGCAACCAAAAATGACAAGACATTAAAAAGTCTCCTTTTCCAGATATCCTAAAGTTCATGTATGTACAAATGACTAGTACATTGGGCTTAAACCATGACATATTTTAATCCCACAGTTAATCTTAAATATACCAGCAGCCTCAATCCATGACATAAGAGAAGCAGCACAAAAAAACACTAATGGAGGATAATTGAAGTTGTTCTTTACTATGAAAGTCTCAGAAACAAAACCAGAAGTTTGCATAGGCTTTTTAAGGATTGTTGGATCATTTTTGATGACACACCTTCTGAGAATTATTGAAGAGGTAAATAGATATATAGTTTTAAAAAAGACATTAAATATAATGTACTTCTTTTTTTCCTCAAATTAAAAAAACTTCTGATTTTGAATACTATCAAATGAAAAGATTAGTTGTAGTCTAGGACAGACACAGCCATGATAAAGACATATCACAACAAATATTACTCATTTTAAACAGAAGTAGTTTAATATTTTAGTCTTTTCCCAAAGATATTAAACATTAATCCTGGCTCAGGTTCCTCATATAGCCAGAGAAGGGAAGGAGTACAAATTACACATGCCTGTCTTTGTTTTATATATAACATACCAAAGAAACAAGCATGTTATATATGAATAAACAAATTTAAATAGAAAAATCAGCATTACCTCAGTGGTCAGTCAAAAGACACTATCTATTTCTTTGGCTAGATCCCCACAAAACAGGATTAGAAACTACAAACAGTTGAAATAAAGCTATTTATACAAATATGAAAATAAGAAATTTTTTTTAACATTGAGTGCATGTACATAATCCACATAGCTAGAACCTCCTGCTCACGTGCATGTTAATGGCATAAGTCTCTTGAGCAACAGATATCACTGTGATGAATTTGCTGTTAAGTTTGCTGTTAAAGATGAAAAAAATTTCAATAGTTCATCCCCACACAAATGGGTTCCATACTACAGTTGAGTATGTGAAAAATTTAGCTCAGGCTTTCCTCTGTTGTCTGCTCATCACATTTCTACTCCTGTTTGCAGAGAAGAGTTTGAAAATATGACCTATATGTACTCTACCCTCAGAAATCAAAGCAAACAAACTATAAGGTTTTCAAAGTGTGAGGGGTTCAGTTTTGCTTTGTTTCATAGTAAGTAGGGAGGAGGGAGTTGGCAAAAAGAAACCAAGAATTGCAGGTTTTATTTCTCTTCTCTCAATTTTTAAATGTCATGACTTCACAGCATTATCTTAAAAAAACAGTCATTAAGACAGCCTATTCCCACCGACTACTTACAATTACTAAACTAGGATTTCTAGACTTGCACACTGTATCCCGCTGGTTTGAAAAGTCGCAAACAAGATACAGTATAAATACTTCTGTGATGTAACACTAAATTACATCAGACTCAATCTCTGACAATCACTCTGTTAAGGGAGGAACAACTGCTCTAAGATTCTGCGTATACCACTGTTCAAAGGGCAATGCAGTGGTAGTTAGCATACCTCCACTTCTCATTAACAAAAAGATAACACAATCACCATCAAAAAAACCCTACTTCCATTCAAACAGTGCTTCACTATCTTCATGCATACACCAATTAACTCTAGTGGGATTATTTGCTCAAGTAAAGATACACACAACCCTAAAAGTTCAAGTTCAACATTCAGCAGATCAGGACTTTCCTATTTATACTATGAACTCCCTATTTTCTTCTGATTTGACATCAACTACTCTAAATCTGCCTTTAAGAAGAGATCTTCTTTTGCTATTGTAAACATGAAAACAATCAAAGGTTAGAGAGAAAACAGTATACATCGCCTTCATTAGTTTGCATGAAACACCAGAGATACCAAAAAGCACCTTCTTAAACAGTAACAGATCAATATCTATTCACTGAAAATCATCCGGAAGAAAATGTTAAATACTAAAAAAGCCAGTTTTGCAATCAGCAAAATGCAAGTACTGAGAAGAAACAGACATTAGGAACAATTTTCCTCCTACATTACAGATGTTTACCTTTGCAACTCCAGCTCTATGAGCACCTTGTGATTCCATGTACACTAAATATTTGTTGAAATCCCTGAATTCATCCATCGAAGGTCTAAAAATCATGATTTTGCATCTTGGGTTTGGAGGACCATCTGAGATCACAGCCGCCATTGTGGTTCACTTTCAATCCAGCTTTAAAAAAAAAAAAAAAAACAGAACGCTCACCATAACATACACTGAAGAGAATAATCTATAGAACAAATTCTGAGATTTGACACGCATGTTTCAAACAGAAAACAAACTTCCAAAACCCTCTGCTCATGCTAACATAAAAGGCACAAAACACATTTACTTTTTCTCCATACTCCTTTAAGAATACTCACCCCTTATCCAGCACAAACACTATCATGAGTGACATTTATACAGTCCAGTCCATAGCTCTCTTTTTATTGCACATTTTTTCAAGGAAATCTGATACCAACCTTTTTATATTAGTTTTGTCTGTGGGTACAAAACATATACAAGCACAGTGACTGCAAGCATTCTGACAGATCTCAGGCTGTCTTCCATAAGTTTTGGAAGGAAATTTATCTAAGGTGAAGGGGTGTAAGTCTGAAAGATACCTATGTCCTGTAAGATGTCATTCTAAAGTAAAATCCACACTGCAATCGTATTATCACTAATACTAATAATTATCTTTATACTACAGAAGTGGAAACATGAGGTCAGCAAAGTTTAATCATCCACATCTATGTCAGTATGTGGCTTGAGAAACCTAATGAACCTAATTCAAAACATCAAAGCACAACACTAGAAAAGCTCATATACTCACAGCAAGACAAAATCTCATTAATGCTACCAGTATTTACATAATCCTAAAGAAGCCTATCACCAGTTATAAAGACAGGGGACAGTGGTTTTTAAGCAAATCCTGTAATATTTAAACTGCACAACTTGTACAAACACAACAAACTTGATACTTTGGTATGTACATTAACTACCAGAACAAAAAGGTGATGAATACTACAACAAACTTCTCAGGGGCTGCCAAAGCAAAAGAAAAAAAAAAAAGAAAAGAAGAGGAAGAGGAAGAAAGTAAAGAATAACTTTCTGCATGCTACGAAACTAGTAACTAAGGCCAGATATGGGACGTCAGTTACCTACAGAACATAAGTGTACCATATTACATGGCTGACCACACACTATTCTACATGATTGTTAAGTACAAAATCTACAGGATTGTTTCTTCTACATCCTAAAAAAAAAAAAAGGAAAGGACCCCTATACGCCACTGCAGCCAACTATTTCTCAGCTATCCAAATCAGTACCAGGCAGCTACAACTTCCTGCCTCCCCTGTCAAAACACCAGACTGCTTTTTGTAATGCCTACACCTGACCATATTGTTAAAGCTGTCAGGATACTAAATATAATTCATTGGTGGAAGAGTTACCTGTAAGACACCGTTCTTCCAAGCAAAATCCTCCATACCCTCACAAAAACACATAATATATTATCCCCAGAATTGGAGAACAACTTCCAAGTTTCATTCATTTGACAACGAATATAGAAATACAAACTAGCATTTGTGTTTAATCAAATTACAAGCAAGGCACTGATTCACACAACTCGAAGATACTATACTAAAACAGAATGAAACATGAGAGAAAAACAGCATGTCTTAATTTGCAGTTGGTTAAAATGCAGTCTTTACTACGTGACACCAACTTTCAATATTACAGTATTCTATCTCCATCTTAATACTAAGCTGCCAGATCTCATCTGAAGGTTACCCACTTCTTTTCCCTTCTAGTGTAAAATGAACTAACCAGTACTTTGAGTTCCAGCCCTCACCAGCAGTGAACCAAAACTTTCTGGCTTTAAACTACACAAGACTTGACACAGTTGTTCTTCCAAAGATGCCTTGTGGGAAGTGTCTCTTGACTGTCAAACAGTGCCCACTTCAGCCCTGTACTGAAAGCACTGCTGAACAAGAATGGAGAAACAGCACATCTGCTCAGTTATACACAAAGTCATTAGCTAACAAGGAAAAAGCACTAAAAAAAACTATAGGCCATTTGTGTTGTACCTGTGTCATAAATGTGTTTGTATTTTGGAAGATCAGATTGTTTTCATATTTGTGTGTTCACTATATAAAATATCAATGTCCACAGCCTTTACTCAACAACCCAAATTAATCAAATGACAAAGCAAGCTCCAATAAATAAGAAAAAGAAAGAGAACAGGAAGAAATAAGAACAAATCTTTGAAGACATCACTTCTCACAGATAAATTAGTTAAAACACACATTTTTTCCCTTCTTTTCTGGCAAATTTTCACCCATACTATGGGACAACAAACATTTGAGGAAGAATTAATCCTGAGATTTTTTCTTCAAATAACTAACAAGAAAATAACCTTATCCAGAGAAAGGCATGCACAAAAAGCGTCAACGTTTTGTCGAGGCTGATCTGAAAGAAAACACTAAACTGTCTATTTGAAAAGAGTTTTCAGATACAAAAGTTTTCAATTTATGAAAGCAAGACAGGACATTCACATTATAAAGTACTAATCATTTTTTTAGGAATCATTCAACAAAACTTCACTGACAAAACTGAGGAAAACTGATTTTTTTCCACTGATCCTCTATTGTAGAGTCTTTTGGGGAAGGAAAAAAAAAGTCATTTGTAAAACCAGCTTTGAAAGATACGGAAAGGAAACACAAAGAAGAAAACCAGGTCTTAATTTATCATAGTCTAAATTGCAATTTTATTTACAATATAAGTAAACACTCCATAAATTCATTCAGTAATTTTTTTTTTTTCACAACAGATATGGGTAGATTCAATTCTGCATTTTCCTACATAATTTTTTAAAAGCTTTTAGCATAATCTGTAAGTAGATACCATCCAAATCCCTATACTATTTGGTAAAGCAAATTCAAAGATGTAAGTTCCTGAAATAGTGCACAGTCCATGACTAGCTACAGGACTGACTTTCAGGCAATTAGAAACATAAAAGCATAATTTGCATGCCCAACTATTACTGAGCATGCAAATAGTTAAAATTCTCAATGTAATTTGGTTTTGCATACTTATGTTTTAACTGTTTAAGTAAGTGCACATGCAAATTATGTCTGTCTAGTTTATGCAAATGGCTTAAAAAAAGGCCCTATTTATCAGGAATCCCAAATCTGTTAGCTATGTTATTTGATGATTAAATAAATGTATGGGCCATAATGTTTTGTATGTGTGATATGAGACATTTATAAGTCAAATCACATGGTTAGGCATGTATTCATCAGACATCCAGCAGTCATCAGGAAGAATCAATTAAGTTTAAAAATGCTATAAGTATTAAAGTATTTAATTGATTATAGAAATTTAAGAAACCAGGAATCTGGATAGGTAACCATATTCTGAAACTCCTAAAACCATCTCAATTTGACTATAAACCTCTAAGTAGTTTGACAACTTCATTTCACATTTGATTTTTATATTTGATACTACCCTTACAGTAACTATTTCCAAATATATAAAAATTACCTATTTTTAACCCAAAAATATTGAACTGAAAAATGACCTGACTTTATTCCATAAACATTCCTCTCCCATACCAGACTCACAGCATGCAAAAACATCTTGAAATAACTGATCTGAGACAAAGGAGAAAAAAAAGCACTCATTTTTATTTGCAACCTGTGTTTCAAGAGTTTTAACTGTCTTTTTAATGAAAACACAGGTATGAAGTCCATAGTCCTGTTGTCCCAAAATCTGGGTTCTTGTACCTGGTGTGCAATGAGCTGAAAAACACACAGAGTCAAGATATTTGTTTAATCCATGTCTGCACAGAGACAGGTGCTCAGTGGTAATTCCACAAAGCTAGCACATCACACATAGGCAAGAAAGATGTTTATACACTTCAAACTACACAAATACACGTTTAATGTAATGATCATTGGTTAGTCTCTTACCACTTTGCTTCTCACTGGTTAACAACATGCCTCAGTCTTTTTATTACTCTGCACAAAACGAAAGGGTAGGGGTCTTATCTGAGTAGGGAGCTTCTCATCAAGATGTGTGGTTTTCTGATTATAAAGAGCTAAATTGATCTAAAGGACACAACTTGGACAGTCTCAGATAGTACCTATGATCACACAACCAAGGGAGGTTTCCTTGTTCCTCAATGCGAGGTTCAGTCTGTTCCCATACACTCTTCATTTTGCAAGGCTCTACTACCTTTGAACATCTTACCCGACTCAAGGCCTTGTGAAATGTTTCTTTTTGTTTTAATCTTTACTCCTTCATTAGTACAAGCTGGAAGGAAAACAGCCTTCAGCAACAGCACGTCAGACCTATCAAGTTCTCACAGTTGCTAACATCACATATCTTATAAAAACCAGTAACTGTATGGGTAACATGTTTTTACAGAATACCATCTCAGTCTTCAGCAATGTACAGATCAAAGCATCCTTAGACAGAGATGGTATTACTGCATTTTGTGGACTTTTTTTGCCCATGATTTTGAACCTCTGCAGGCTTTTAATACCTAAACCATCTATCTCATGATAAAGTATTCCACAATCAGCAATATGCTAAGTAATAAATCTCCTTCTGCACATTTTTAATATTTTAGTTTGATCTGACATCTCATGTGCACACTGGCAACAGTTATCTATCTGCCCATATTTACCTTCAGTCCACACACAACTTATGGATCTCTGTCATGGTCTCCCACAGCCACCTCTCCCTTAAGCTTAAGACTCCTAGTCTCCTTGCAGAAAAATCCATCCCATCATCACTGCATCCTATTCCTGAAGCTTTACCAGTTCCAGTAAATTGCTTTTAGTCAGGGAAAGGGGTACCAAAGCTGTAAGCACTACTCAAGATGCAAGTAAACCATAAATTCACACAATGGTGTAACAACATTCTCAAATTTGGGTGTAGGCCTCATGGAGACCAGAAAGCAGCTTGGCCTAGACCTCAGTTTTTAAAAAGATAATTTACAAGCACCTAAAAATTCAGAAAAATACTTACTGCTAACGCAGCCTGTAACACTGCTGGGGATACAAACAGAAGGTGGTGAATGTGAAATGCTTCCTGATTAAACATTTTTAAATGGTTCTGCCATTTCTGCCCAGACGCATTTCTCAAAAAAACTCCCTAACTATAGGCACATTATTAACTGCCTTT